ATATATGGGTTTTATTCACAGAGTCTGTGTAAAAAACAAATTTTTATAATTTTTGAAGGGACATACTTTCATTATTGATAAGGGAATATAATAAATTAGTATTTTGATTCCTTTACTGTTTACTACCATTTTTTTTCTCCTTCGTGATTTGTAGTTCTTTTAATCCATTAATTTCTGTAACAATTCTTATTTCGTTAATCATTTTGCTAATCCAGCAGGCCTTTTAAGAATTCCTGGTCAATGGAGACTGGGAATTTCAGCAGGGATTTGGACGCCAACATACAGTCAGTCACCGTGTTCATTGCGTCTGCATTGCGAATGGATACTTTTTTTTGAATAAATACTCTAAATTTAAACCATTTCAGCTGCTCCACGAATTGAGACGACTAATTTGAAAATTGAAGCAAACGCTGGCGAAGAAGCCGTAGTGGAGTGCGAAGCAATTGGAATTCCACTGCCAAAAATAACATGGTTAAAGAATGAACAGGTGATAGAAAGTAAGTAATAGTAAACTTAAAAAATTGTTGTGAAACGGCTTTTTTAGTCATATAATCAATAAAATTTGTTTTAGCACCTGGTGCTCAAGTTGGCTCTAAGAGCAGACTAGTGTTCAAAAATGTAACGAATGAGAACTCAGCTTTGTACTCATGCATTGCACAGAACTGGGGAGGCAAAGTTTACAAAGATATCAACTTAATCGTTTACGGTTAGCGCAATACCTGGATCATCAAGTTTCTTCAATGGTTTCGAAGTTGAGCGAAGATTTTTTTAAAAAGTCAAATCTTTAAATGCTTAATTGTTCAATAACTTTACATTGCAATTTTTAGTACCGCCGCAGATTTATCCTTACCAAATGGAAGTGGTAGCGAAACCAGGTGAAAATGTAATTTTGTCCTGCAATGCAAGTGGTATACCCGAGCCAATAGTTACGTGGATGAAAATGCCCAATATCACAATTCCCGGAAAAAAATCCAGTGAGATCTTTCATAATGCGTTTATCGCTTCCACTTATTTGTGTTAATTTCTACCGTTACCAGGCAATCTGGTGAAATAATGTGATTCAATTATGGATGTTTTTTAGCAGAAAATATTCAAAGGTTTCCGTTAAAAATCAAAAACAGGTTTTTTCTGCAATATTATATAACAAAATAAAGCTAAAGCAGAAGAGAACTGTAAACATTTTTTAGTTTTTTGAAAAGTTATTTCTAGAAAACCTTTAAAACTGTCAAAGATGCATGCTCTAAATGTCAAAAAGTGGCATAAAAATAGCCTTTATTCGGGTAATAATAATATCGTCATAATCAGCGGCCTAGAATTAGACAGTGCTTCTAAAAAAAGCGGTTTTTAACTGAGAAAAAGGGTTAGACATGCAGTAATAAACTATTTGTAAATGAATAAATGGTAAGATATTTAATTGCTTTGTGATTTTTTACGGAATAAGAATTTTTAGAATATCATATTCTTGGAACGTCTTTGTTCATACAGAACGCCGGCAGCGAAGACGAAGGCACTTACCAGTGTACCGCGACAACTTTAGCGGGCTCAGCAACTGCTATAAGAGATTTGCGAATTGAAAATACTTCTGGTACTTCTAGTAATTTAATAAGTTCTTTATCTGAGATCTATTATCAACTATAAGACGCAAAAAACTAAACTTTTTCAAGCAATAAGAACTGTTAGTTCAAAAAATAAGAAGATACACAAGAGACAAAAATGAAGTAATGCTGCAGATAGTGAAGGCTCGAGCAAGCAAATATGGGTACGATGTGATGAAGCTGGGAATCCCATAGTGGATTCGTATGTCCAGGATCGGGGTGATGTCCCAGAAGATCAGGACAAAATGCTTCCAACAGGAAGGCACCAAATAAACGCAAGTTTTTAGTCTTTGAACTTAGCCTATCTTCGAACACCAGTAGCTTTGGAAAACTTTGGAAGATTATTTTCTATTGTATTTCGCAAAACCTAGCAATTACTATAGGTTGATGATGGTGGAAGATCAACTAAACGCTGTTTGATCACTCCGCCAGGTGCTCGAACGTCTACTTCTCCGCCTCAAATAGTCGAAGAGCCAAAATCTCAAATTTTACATCCAGGTGTTGCTACGGAACTTCATTGCAGGTAAAGTCATAATTATTAATTCTAAATGGAGAGTTTATTTTCTTAAATGCTATGGACCAGTTAGAGGCTAAATAACTCGTTTAAGAGCAGAAGGTTTTCCTCTACCAGTCATTCGATGGCTCAAGGATGAGGAACCAATAGACGATATACCAAGTGACAATGGTTCCTCGGTACTCCACATCAACGTAGAAGAGACGCCGGATTCTGATTTGGCTGGTATCTACACCTGCGTAGCAGAAAATGATAACGGAGAAGTTGCAAGAGCAGACGCCGTATTGAAATTTGGACATCGTCAAGAATCAAGTGCTTTAAGAGTACACTAATTAAGCTGTTTTTACTTTCATTCATCGTTATTCAACGGTTATAGCTATATTCTTGTTAATAAATGTTATTGTTGTTGAAAATACCATTGTCTTTCATAAAAATTTTAGTATCGAAACCATTTTCGAAAAGTAATAGTTTTTAATTGCCTTGAACGAGGGGTACCACAAACGGAACATGTTACATGGAAGATTGGTGACGAGACTGTTAGTAGAAACGATGAATCTCTTCACTTGATGAATAATGGTTCTCTTGTGATATTTGATGAGGATGATTTGCAAGTAAATTTCAAAGTTTTGCTCATCTTAAGAAACTATGATGTATCTGTAAAGGAAAGTTTTTTGAATCACAGGGAAAACTATTGAAAAAATCCTTGTTTTATTAGTCGTTGTTACAAACTTAGATCGCTATTCAGTGCCAAAAGAATTGAGTCAAATATACGGATAATAACTTGCATTACTTTTCTTGAAGCCTGATGAATTGGATGCCATAGAATGCTACAGACGAGACCGTAAACGGACAAAGCATTATTCAAAACAAGTAGTTATGGAAGACCTTCCACAAGTGGTGATCCATATTCCAAGGTATTTTGCTCGAGTCGGCGATAGCATTATCATTAACTGCTATCTGCAGTCTGAGCCTCTGACTACCAAAGTCGAGTGGACTAAAAATAATTTACCACTTCTAGATGATGATCCACGTGTTTCAGTTTTGGTAAGTTAGCATTTTGCAGCGTAACTTCTGCTCAGTACTAGTTCCCATAAACAATAATTGCGAGTTGGTAAGGTATCGAATTAAAAGAACACCACAAAGTACATCACGAACAGGAAGACATATGAAGACTGGGAGAAGAAGCACTGGTTTTTTTATTGTTCTAACTAAGAATAACTTGAGATTAACTACTTCAAATGGTTTAAAACCCATTTGGGTTGAAGCGACTGACATATTGCAGCCCAACAATTCACTGTCACTGAGAAACCTTCGACTGTCAGATCGTGCATCCTATAAATGTCGAGGTAAAACTCGATTTGGTAAGATGTTCGACGAAGTAGAGTTGATAGTACAAGGTACTTTTAGGTTTTATTTAACTCTTAGTTTTTAAATACTTTTCAGCCTTCTTGAAAACAACCATACGTATCTTTTCAATTTTCACTAAATACCTACAAAAGCCTTTGTTCGCTTATGGCGAATGGTGTAATGATAAATATTGCCAATGCTGAACTTTGTCAAAAATATCCCATTTTTTAATAGACGGTCTAAAAGGTGTCGTTGGATTTATTGAGGGACAACTGAATAACCAAAATGTAAATAATCAGGCACTTATCATGAATATTACACCAAACATCGAAAATAATGCTGTGATTATCAAAGTGGATAACCTCTTCGACAATAATGGTATATCTGATTCAGCTACATTATGTATGACTGAGATCAGTACTCCTTTTAGTAGAGATTTCGCTGTTTATTTCTACGCAGAGCTACTGCGAGTTAATTGAAAAAACTAACGAGGTGTCAGTGCTTTATTTTGAAGCATTTCAACTTATCCAAATTCTTTTTAGACCCGGCGGCTCAAGCAATTATTGGGTATGCTTCTGCACTGTGCCCATTGATAGCTTACAACCGAGAGGACCAAAAAACTTCTGAAATTAGTCCTAAATTTGAGCGTTATACCGACTATAAATTTGACACTGGTGAAAAGTTAAGAGTAAAGCAACGAGGAAATGGTATAAATGGGGCATTTTTAAAAATGGATGTCCTAGTTAACGGGGACACCCCTCATTCTGAATATCTGGTAAACAGTTACTGTTATTAAAAGTGCGAGGAATTCATTGAGCGCTATACAGTAGCAACAATTCTGTTATTCATTTCCACTTTATTCTGCAGGATGGTGTAACTATAGATGACTTAGAAGAGGATATGATAGAAAATGAGCCTGGTCGAATTAAGGGACAAGGAAAGTCAATGTTACACATCAATCGAAAAATTCATATACCATTCCAGTAAGCTATTCAAATTCTGAAACATTTACATAGTCCAGTTAAAAGAGGCTCAAATGTCTTTCTGCTAATCCGTTTCCCTCAATTATAAGTAGATCTTTGAACTTTTTTTCAGCTAACTTCTGAGTTATTTGCAATATCATTATGCAACGGCTCAAGAAATTTCTTATTCATTTTAATAATTGAATCTTCTGATCTCCTGGAGGAGGTTACACTAACAACATTTGTTTGCTCTGCTTTCTGACAGCGCCGATCTCTCTAAACATTTTTGTACCTTTCTACATGTTAAGAGCGATTGGCTAAAGTTGCATTTAAAAATATTTTGAACAAAAATGCAGAACACTTTCATTAACTTGACGAAAAGAATAAGGTAGTCTAGAATAAGGCTAAATATTCTTCCTCCGCACACGTTCCTTTCAAGATACTTGGCCAAAAAACAAGAAAAGCCGAATACCGGAAAATCTTTTAATTCAGAGTCGATCTCTAGAAAATTTAGAATGAGGAGCAAGGACCACTCAGTTTGCCATTACTAAATGTACAGTTCCCTGACAGAGCACGTTCCTGATTTCGGAAAATAAGATTCAAAATCGCAAGTGTGTCAAACGCAAAATTTTGGCAGGGCTACTGCATGCTGGTAATAGATTTTAATAGTTTCGCACAGTGCTTAACAAAACTTAAGAGATCTATGGTGTTCAAAGTGGTATCTGCACTTGACAACTTTATGCCGCCACCAAGTCGTCAACAGTGTGCTCTTAGAAGGAAAAAACTGACAATTCAATTTTATTTCCAAGCACTGTCTATTCAAAAATACAATTTCTTTTGACAAAGAAAATTGAAAAGAGGATTGAGCACCTTGCTTAACTGAGCACCTTAAAATAAACGACTGAATCGGCGAGCATCACTGCCATCGGTTGTTACTGCATTATCCTTACAAAACCTGCAATTTCTACTGGTTCGCAATAAATTTCTGCCATTATTCCGTTCTTGAAATATTTTCTGGGTACACTCTCTGCAATCACCATACCGCCGGAAGCATGTTGAGTGCCAGCGACACGTATACTACAGCTGCTGGTCAGGGTTCCCACCCGGGTAAGGTAGGACCAGTGATGGAACTAATAGGAAGAACGACTGAGAAGAGCGTGGCTCCTGAAGGAAGAAAAATTAGCTATTGGTCAGTGATTACAAAATACTACTGCTGATGAAAGGATACTGGAAAGCCGCTGGTAAGAAAAATCGCTTATGCGGTGTAGATGAGTTTTTGCCGAAATAACGTTAGAACTTATAATGACGTGGCACTGTGAAAAAATGTTGTTTTTTTAGCCTAAAAAATTCATTCTCCCAGCGAGAAAGACAGCTGAATGAACCTCCTAAGGAAAATCGAAGCAGCAAAAGAACTATTTAGAATTTGGGACTACGACCGAGAGGGAAAAAGAAGCCTTTTGGCGCTTAGTTTAACAAGTACTCTAATAGGTATAACAAAACTCAGCAGAGGCTGGTACGTCACACGGCTAGATTGCTAATGATTGGACTTCATGTTCATTGCAACTTACGCTTGTAAATAGCGTCAATCTCACTGCGCCATTCTAAGTAATCGCGTTAGTCCCCGTAAGATTTCATTTGACCGTACTTGGAAGAACATGTTCTAAAGCTCATTGAACATTAGGAATTAGTGTGGTTCCTGTTGCAACAGAGGCTTAGTTGGGTGAAAGTACTTAATCTCCGTACAATGCATTATTTCGGCTGAACTCATCACTAGAACTAGTTGATTTATGAAGATTACTTTATTTATGAAGATTATTTATGAAGTCTTATTTATGAAGATTCATCACAATGTTTATTTTACCTGATCCAGTTATGGTGTGGTCTAAATTTTGAATTACTTTTTTGTAGATGTACGAGCGGTATAAACACATTCAAAAATTTGAACCAAATTCTGCAAGTACTTTTCAGTGCCTCTAAAGCCACAGCAGGCAACACTGAATGATTTCGCATCCCTGGCTAGTTGCTTTTACTGCAAAGGAAGGCTGTTGATCACTTTTAGAAACCTTTATTAGGCCTTCGCACCTATGCTTGGAGGGGAAGAAGACTGCATAGGGAACGGAGACAGGCGTAGTGATGTTAATGAATGCTTTAGTGGAAAACGGATAAACGGATCAGCTGGATGAGAAGAGAGGTGAATAAAGCGCGCAAAAATAAATAAGCAGTGACGACTAAAATTCTTTAAATTTCTAAGGGCCAGATTTCGTCGGCATCAAACGCTAACAAAGAAAGCTTTTATTTATTGGTTATTTTTATGAGACGAATCCACCAAGTTAGAAGTAAATCCGCGACAAAGTCTGAATGTAAAATATCACGTTTGGTTGCATGTGCTTCAAAACAAATTTATATTCAGGGACTGTGTTTGGTTTTGTAACTGAGGAAGGGATGGGAAAATCATTTCTCTCGTAATTAACGGTTCTCTCCTTCAACCTGTTCGCTTATCAAAATATGTTGTTTATGCAGTTTTCACTTTTGTTCTCTATAGGTTGTATTGGGTGATGAATTGACATAGAAATTCAGTCTTCTCTTCTGCTCTAATTTTACAGACTTAAAATAACTTGTTAGCAATCTTTTATAGCCAGACGTTGAAAAATTAGTTGTTTCTTTTTAGCTGGAATCATACGCTGAAGTACGACGCTTCAAAAGGAGTAACTCTCGGTCCGGGAAAAACATTAAATTTACTTCTGAAGGCAGAAAGTCTTGGTAATGCTGGGATGTACAAAGTTGGTGCTTCTGCAAAACCACTGAGGCAGTGTCCTGAAGGTTTCAAGAAATTGCCTAATGGTCACTGTGAAGGTATGTATATTATTGGTCACCTTGCTAATAATTCATAAGACAGTAATTTACAAATCACTATATACCAAACAAAAATATATTGGGAGGTTCTCATGTTATATCACTTACTGCTTCACACTCAGTTAGTGATACGGTATCATATGCTGTATGAAACGGCGTTTCCCCACCAACTTTGCGATAGTAACATCGACAATTTTCAGATATAAATGAATGCGATTTGAGTCCATCTGTGTGCGGACAAGAAGCAAATTGTGTTAATGAGGAGGGTGGGTATAAATGTGTACGGGAATGTGAACCCGGATTTAAGGTCAAGTGGGACGGTTCGTGTATTGATATCGACGAATGCGCCTTAGGAACCCACAACTGCCCGCAAGGAAAGCAGTGTTTAAATTTACCAGGTTGACAGTTTGATTTTGAAAAGAATATTATCTCTACTATACCAGTAAAAATGCACTATAAATTTAGTGCCTATACTTCTATTAGCTCATTGAAGAGTCATGAGCATTATATAAATTCTTAGCGCCGTGAAAAATGAAGTATAGGGCTGGAAAACAGGGTCTTAAAGTTTTAATTGCAGG